GGTGGCTTTTTGTTCCCCCCCCAAAAAAAAACCCCATTCCTTCTCTTTTCCAGGCTCGGAGGCGTCTTCCAGCAGCCAGGACCAGACTTCTGCCGGGGAATCTGTGACAGAGGCGGAGCTGAAGCGCCTGCCCGAGTTCAACCCCCCCTCCTTCATGCCTTTTGGGAACGTGGGCACCCCCCTGAGCGTGTTCCTGGAGCTGATCCGGGCCTGCCGGCTGCCTCCCTGGATCATCAAGAAGCTGCAGCTGGATTTCCCAAAGACTGGCTCATCCCGGAGGTATGGGAATGTGCCCTTTGAATACCAGGACACTGAGACGGTGGTGGAGGAAGGAGGAGTTTACACGGCTGCAGGGGATGAGATCACCGAGGGAGAGGGGCCCGAGCCAAGCCCGGGGGTGACTCACCCGGCCCAGCCCCAGGAACAGGAGGAGGAGAGGCAGCAGGAGGAAGAGGAGTCTCACTCAGATGATGTAAGTGGAATATTCCAGCACCGTCCGAGCCCAGCAGAGCTGGGAGGGCACAGAGAGCTCAGGTTTAATCTTTTAACTGTATTATATAAATTACATGTCTAAAGAAATGGGTGTTGGAGTTGTTCAGCTCTTGGTGTGTGGGCAGTGGGGGCACGAACCCCCCCAAAAAAACTGCTTGTCCAGAGCAAGGTGGTTGTAAGGGTTGAACCCAAAAGGGGTTTGGTCAGGGTTTATCCCAAAGGCTCTGGTGGGGATTTGGTCCAAGGAGCTGGTGCTGCAGGGCAGACCCTGGCAGATGGGCCCAGCTCTGCTTTGCCTACAGATGAGGTGACCAGAGGCTCAGTTTGTGTGCTGGCAAAGGACATGCAGAGCTGCACACAAATGGCTGACCTGGAATGCTCCTGGGACTGAAGTTTAGTCACTGAGAGGGAAATGGTCTTTGTGACAAAGGCTCCTGGGAGCCCTGGGCAGGGCAGGCTCTGTGGAGCCATCTCTGCCTGGCAGACGCCTGTCTGGCCTGTTCTCCCAAACCTCTGTCATTACAGATCCCCAGGCAAGCCATTCCCGTTCTTTCCTCCGCCAGAACAACCTCAGATGCCAAATCTTTGCTGCAGTTCCACCCCATTAGTTTCTCCTGGCAACAGCGGGCACAGAGGGCGCTTTGTTCCCTCCTTTTATCCAGCCTTGCCTTCTCCAGACTAAACAGACTCCTCCAGCTGTTTCTCACAGGCTGTTTCCTGGATCTCCAGCCGTTCTTTTGGCTGCTCCTGCCCTGGAAGGGCTGTGCCCAGAGTTGGGCAGGCAGCAGTGGAGCTGCCAGCCTGCCCTGTGCCCGTGCCAACGAGCTGCTTCCCGGGAAACCCACACAATCTCCTTGGGGATCAACCGGAGTGGAATTAATCCGTCGCTTAGTGCTGACTCCGGGTCCAGCACACCTGCTCCTTAAATGGGCATCCCTGCAGTGGGTGTGAGGGGTGGGATCTCTCAGTGCTGACTCTGGAAGTGGCGTCAGTCAGGGGATGAGCTCACCCGCACCCGTCGTGTCGGGGCCTGAGAGCTGCAGGCCGGGACCGGCTCTGTCAGCGGGGCTGTTCCGCGGGGAAGGGGTTGGGATGGGGGTCAGGGGGCAGGGAGGGGGTCTGTGCTGGTGTTACCCACCCTGTGCCACCTCCCCCTGCAGGACAATGACACCTGTGAGGAGTGGGAGCGGCACGAGGCCCTGCACGAGGACGTGACCAAGCAGGGCCGGGTGGAGGAGCGGCTCTTCGAGGAGGAGATCGAGCTCAAGTGGGAGAAGGGAGGCTCTGGCCTCGTGTTCTACACAGATGCCCAGTTCTGGCAGGAGGAGAATGGAGGTAAAGTTGGTGTTTGTGTCACTGAGGCCCTACCAACCCCCAGGGGCAGGTTTAGCCCCCTACAAACAGTCCAGCTCAGCTGCAGCCAAACAGCATCTTGCCATCACTGTTTAACCTTCCCTTGGTCACAATCCAGTCACCAGAGACCCCAGTGGTGCTGCCTCAGCCCCTTCTGTGGGCACTGGGATTTGGGGAGTCTCTAATGCCATTTCAGTGCTGAGGCACCACCTCAGGTGCTGTGTCCAGTTCTGGGCCCTCACTGCAGGGGGACAAGGGGGGCATCGGGCACAGGTTGGACTCGAAGATCTTGGAGGTCTTTCCCAACCTTAATGATTCTGTGGTTCCTTCCCGTTTTGTTAGAGAAAACAGGGAGCTGGACCACCAGCAAACAGCTCTTCTGTGTCAGACTTCACCAAAACTGCTGCTTTCCTTCTCTTGGCAGACTTTGACGAGCAGACAGCGGACGACTGGGACGTGGACATGAGCATCTACTATGACAAAGGTATCAAAGCTAACCTGAGGAGAGCAGGGAGGCTGGGAAATTCCAACCCTGCACCATCTGGGGAGCTCTTCGGCTCTGTCATCCTCTGAAAGCGTCCAAGACATCAGTGAACTTGAAACGGCGTTTTTCTGGTCTGGCGGCCAGAGCTGCCAAAAAAGAACAGGTTCTGCCTCCTCTGCCTGGTGCTCTGGGGGAAGTGACAGAGCTGTGCAGCTCCCCTGAGCTGTGCTGCCCTGACTCTGGCTTCTTTCTCCCCAGATGGAGGTGATAAGGACGCTCGGGACTCGGTGCGGATGTGGCTGGAGCAGCAGCTGCGGGATGGGTTGGAGGAGGGGTCTGTGTCAGGGCAGCAGATTGGAACCTTCGAGAGATACACCAAGGTGAGCTCTGGACACCTGCTCCAGGGGCAGGGCAGGAAGGGCTGGAGTGGTGATGGTGCCCAGAGGTTGTGGATTAGGGGGAGGAGAGGCCTTGGTGTGGGGAGGGGGCAGAAAGCTCTGGGGAGGTGAGGTTGGGCTCTGTCCGGCAACTCTGTGATGTTTTTCCCTCCTCCCAGGGCTTTGGCAGGAAGGTGCTGGAGCAGCAGGGCTGGACGGAGGGGCTGGGCCTGGGGAGCAACAACTCTGGGATGGCTGAAGCTCTGGATAACGAGGGTCAGAACCCCAGATGCAAGAGGGGGCTGGGGTAAGTACCCACGTGCCAACCTGTGGCTCTGCCTGGGCTCTCTTTGGAGATTGTGGAGTTAGAGCAGGACTGGAACCATGTGCAGGTTCCTGCAGCACAGACAGAAGAAGGACTGAGGGTCTCCACCTCTACCCGCCCTGTGGGGTTTCTGTAGGCTTTGTGGGGTGCAGTTTGGCCATGAGGGCTGGCTCTTGTTCTAGAGCAGCCAGGAATAGCACAGGGGTCCATATGGGTCCACATCTTCCCTGCATCACTGTCGCAGGTTGCCCAGAGAAGCTGTGGCTGCCCCATCCCTGGAAGTGTCCAAGGCCAGGTTGGAGCAACCTGGTCCAGTGGAAGATGTCCCTTCCAACCCAAACCATTCCCTGATTCCATAGTCACATGAAGGAAGTGATCAGGGAAGCACAGGGATGCCTGGCTGCCTCACCAACCTCCAACCAAACCTTTCCTGCTTCCCTCCAGGTACCACGGGGAGAAGCTGCCAACCTTCCTCAAGGGGAAGAAGCCCCGGAGGGACAATCCCGTCGTCATCTCCACCATCTACGACGACCCCGAGCCCCAGGACATGGGGGACCAGCTGCTCCGGCGCCAGCCCCCCACTGCCATGAAGTACAGGCAGGACATGGCCTTTGTCAGGGCGTCCCACCCTGCCCTGGGCAGCCTCAGGTCCCAGTCCCACTGAGCAGGGACTGCCACAGCCCTGGGATCTGCTCCCCAGTCCAGGCTGGCTCCTGGTCTCAGGGGTGGAGCAGGGTGTTTATATTTTTTTAACTTATTTTTAGAAAAATTTTTTTGTTTTATGTTAGATTTTGTAATAAAAATGGACTCAGCAGGGGGAGGTTTTTTTCCCCCCGACTAGTTGAACCATTCAGATTGCTGTTTGTTCAGTGGGGGTTGGGGACTGTGTTTCTGGGTGAGGGCTTAAAACTGACATTAGTGCTGGGATCAAGCAAACCTGAGTGCTCAGCGAGCCTAAAAAGCCTGAACTCGTAGTTCAGGGCTGCCTGAGACCCGGGGAAGGACAAGTACAGGCAGGGCCGGCCGTGGCACCATAACTGTCCTGCCAACGGCTCCCTGCTGGCCACAGCTCCGCGTTGCCTGGGCGTGGCGATCCCACACTCCCGGGAGAAACTCAGCCGGGATGAAAGGCTTGTCCTGGCAGCCTCCAAGGAATTCTGTGGGAGGCGTTCCCCCACGGCCGGGCGTAGCGGGCGCTTCCTTCCACGGCTTCCCAACCTGCTGTGCCCTGTTTTCCTGACACAGGCACTCTGGAGAGGGGAGAGCCTTGGGCACGGTGACCCAGGGCTGCAGGGTTAAGTGGGAATGGGTGAAGGCCAGGCCTCGTTTGCTCTCCTTAGGGATATTGCTGTGTCAGGCAGGAATTTCACCTTTCCCTTCTGTTGTAGCCAGGTGAGGGTTGGCCTCTTTTCCCAGCAGCTAGTTATAGGATGAGAGGACACAGTCTTAAGCTGCACCAGGGGAGGTTTAGGTTAGACATTAAGAAGAATTTCCTCGCAGAAAGGGTGATTAGATCTTGGAATGGGCTGCTCAGGGAGGTGGTGGAGTCACTGTTCACTGGAGATGTTCAAGGAAAGAGTGGACCTGGCTCTTGGCGCCATGGTGAGATGGATCACAGGTCTGACTCGATGATCCCAGAGGTCTTTTCCAACCAAGTTTATTCCGGGATTCTCTGTGAAAAAAAACCAAACACAGGGGTGGGGTTTTGCCGGCGCCGGGACTCGAACCCACGGCCCCCGAACCCCCAATGGGGGTCCCGGCTTCGAGTCCCTCTGGCCGCCAGGGGGCGCTGTGGGGGCGGCGGCCGCTCCGCGCCCGGAACGCGGCGCTCCGGGGGCCGCGGCCACCCGGACCCGGCGCGGGGGGCACCGGCGGGCGGTGAGCGGCCTACCGGGAAAAAAACGGGATTGGGGAGGGAATTACGGGATTGAGGGGGGATACGGGACTGGGGAGGGGGTATGAGGGGTGAAAGGGCCTGGGCTAGGAGCGGGACTGAGGGGGAGAAGGGGGGGCGGGAGGGAAGGGGGGTCGTAGGGGGGATGAGGGGCCCCATGGGGGAAAGGGAAACACGGGAGCACAGGGGGTGAAGGGGATAAAGGGGGACGTGGGGTAAAGGAGGGTGCCAGGCAAAGGGAGGGATGAAGGGGGGATAAAGGGGATAAATGGGGTCGCAGGCAGAGGGGAATGTGGGGGAAAGAGTGTCATGGGAAAAGAAGGGACATGGTGGAAGGGGAACACTGGAGGGAAGAGGGAATATGGGGAGAAGGGGGATGTAGGCAAAGAGGGGTCATGGAGGAAGAGGGGACACGGGATATGTGGGACATGGAAGGGAGAAGGGATGTGTGGTGGGGGAAGGGACACAGGAGAAGGGAGGGTCTGTGGAGAGTGGGAATGTGGGGGTGACATGGGGAAGACAGGGAGAGCAGAAGGGACAACAATGGAGGGGAGGACGTGGGGACATGTGGGCACTGCCACATCAGGAAGGACCCAGTAAGGGTGGGACTGACCCCACAGCTGGGCAGGAGCAGGGATTTGCATCCCACAGGCACATCCCAGGGGCTGGGGGGGTTACCCCTGTTTTCAGAGTGGGGGGCACCGGGGTGTCACCCACCCCAGCGAGGGGCTCAGTGCAAAGAGTGGCAGGACCTGGCTGCAACATCCCACTCCACCCTCTCCCTGGGTGGGAGTCCCAGCAGATCCCATCCCTACAAACGCAGATTAAGCAGTAAATGGGATCTTTTCCCCCCTCCCAGCCAGCAGCAGCAGCAGGAAGAGGAGATGACCCACCATGTCTGAGGGCAGCAGGGGCCGCTCGCCGGCCTTCGGCCAGGTGGTCATCGGGCCACCGGGCTCCGGGAAAACCACCTACTGCCATGCCATGAGGGAATTCCTGGGGCGGATCGGGCGCAGGGTGGCCGTGGTGAACCTGGACCCCGCCAACGAGGCGCTGCCCTGCCCCTGCGAGCTGGACATCGGCCAGCTCGTCACCCTGCCCGACGTCATGGGCAGCCTCGCGCTGGGCCCCAACGGGGGGCTCCTCTACTGCATGGAGTACCTGGAGACCAACGTGGACTGGCTGCAGGAGAAGCTGGAGGGGCTCAAGGGGCACTACATCCTCTTTGACTGCCCCGGGCAGGTGGAGCTCTACACGCACCACAGCTCCCTGAAGAATGTCTTCGCCCACCTGGCCAAGTGGGATTTCAGGGTATTTCTGGGATTCTGGGGGCTCTGCAGGGGGTTTGGGGTGGGTGGCTGGCACACCATGTGGGGCTCCGCACCCTGTGGCTGTCGTGGGGACAAATGGCTGTTTTCTTCAGGAATTTTTTGGCCTTTCCTGTGAAACGGGTTTGTTAGGGAAGGAGGGGAATTTTGTCTGATTTTTGTCCTGTTTTATGCTCGGAGGGTTTGAAAAAATGGTGGCTTGTTGGGGCTTTTAATGCAGTGGGATTATGGACAGAAATATGGATTCTTTCCTCACACATCACAGAATCACAAATGGTTTGAGTTTGGAAGGACCTTAAAGCCCATCCAGTTCCACCCCCCTGCCATGGGCAGGGACACCTTCCACTCTCCCAGGTTGCTCCAAGCCCCATCCAACCTGGCCTTGGACATTTCCAGGGGTGGGACAAGCACTTGCTGTGCTCCAGGGTCACCACCCCCACACTGTGTGTGTGTTTTATCCGGGCAGGGAGGTCGATGTGTGCTGGGACCCTTTTTGCCCTGCCCTGTGAGGAGCCCAGGTGACATCCCCGGCCCTGCCTGCCCTGCCTGCCCCCCGTGGGACGTGCCCTGGGCCTCCTTGCACAATGGGAGATGCAGATGAGGCCGTGCAGGTGAGAACAGTCTCACAGCCCAGGGAACCTGCTGACGCGGCGCTTGCTTTGCGTCGGGGCCAAACCATGAATGTGCAAACCCTGTGCAGTGTGAGCAAGAAGGGCAGGTTCATTTGCCTGAGAATGTCACTGGGAATCTGCACATTAGAGGTTTATTCTCATTGGAATAAATGGATGTGAAATTGGGGTTGCTAAAATAAGACATTTACGCCGCTGTTTTGCTGCTCACACCTGGACTGGTTTTGTTTTTTTTTTTTTGTGCTGCAGAAGCTCTGCTTGTGACTCAGCCACGCTCAGCCTCAGAGCCCTGGCTTGGAGTGACTTCCAGAGGTCTGGGACCACATTGTTAGAGCAGCACAAAACACAGGGAATCGAACTGTTCATTAGTGTAATTATTAATTATTAGTGCAGACCGCAGTTGGCTCTCCCAGCAGAACGTGGCGTGCTACAGTTACTGCTCCTGAGTGTGCCATGGCCTGAGCAGTCCTGTGGGGAAGGGGGGAAATCTGGGGGCAGTTGTGTTGTTCAGGGGGAGAATTAAACCCAGCTGCCACCCCAAAAAATCTGCAGAGTTCAGGCAAGTGGGGAAACTTCAGCTGCAAAGAGAGGAACCCTGAGGGAAGGGTTTGGGTGTTGGTGGAGGAGCTCAGCACCCCTATAAAGCCTCCCCACAGCTCTTCCCTGGGTCCTGAATCCGTGGTGTTCTGTAGGTGGGAATGGGACAATGTACACTTTTACATCCATGGATTTATGAATATGTTCTCTGAAGAGGAGAAGGCTGTGGGGAGGCCTTGGAGCCCCTTCCATTGCCTAAAGGGGTGAGAGGGGAAAGGGAAGAAATTGTGGCTGCCCCACCCCTGGAAATGTCAAGGCCAGGTTGGACGGGGCTTGGAGCAGCCTGGGCTGGTGGAAGGTGTCCCTGCATTGGAGTGAGAGGAGATTTAAGGTTCCTTCCAACAGAAACCATTTCATGATTCTCTGATTCTGGTTTTCCTGTGCAGGAGGCAGAAGGTAGGTGGGAGCTTTCCCTACGTGGCACAGTCAGGTCTGAACAGATTGTCCTGTTGCCTCTTCCAGGCCGCCCCTAAAGCAAGCGGATGGTTTTGTCACGGGTCTGAACCTTTGTGTCCTTTTGTGCCTTTGCTTCCCAGCTGGCTGCAGTGCACCTGGTGGATTCCCACTACTGCACGGACCCTGGGAAGTTCATCTCCGTGCTCTGCACCTCCCTGTCCACCATGCTGCACGTGGAGCTGCCCCACATCAACGTCCTCTCCAAGATGGACCTGATCGAGCAGTACGGGAAGCTGGGTAAGAGAATTTTGTGGAATTACAGGATGGCTTGGGCTTGGGAGGGACCTCAGAGCTCATACCCTTAAAGCAGGGACACCTTCCACTAGACCAGGTTGCTCAGAGCTCCGTCCAGCCCGGCCTTGGACACTTGTCAGGGATTTGAGGGATGTGGATTGACCTGTGTCAGGTCTGTTTGGGAGTGGGAGTGGGAATGGTTGGGGAAAACTGGTGTGGATGGTGGGGAATCTTTGCTTTTCAACTTAAAAATTGCCTTGTTTCCCTGCAGCTTTCAACCTGGATTATTACACCGAGGTCCTGGATCTCTCTTACCTGGTTGATCATTTGGCCTCTGATCCCTTCTTCAGGAATTACCGCCGCCTCAACGAGAAGCTGGTGGAGGTGATTGAGGACTACAGCCTGGTGTCCTTTGTCCCCCTCAACGTCCAGGTGATGCAGCAGGAGGGAACAGGGATGTGCAGCTGGATATGTAGCACCTTGTTTATGCCTGCTAAAAGGGCTGAAAGCTTTGGCTGTGAAGAGATTCAGGGATGGAAAACAGGGGAACACACCCAGACTTGTAAATGATCCGTGGCAGCCAAAGGAAGAGGAAAGGCTGATCGAGCTTGGGGCTACCTGGGCCTTGTGTCCTGGGGTGGGGAGTTCAGGCTCCCCCTC